TGGCGAACATCGTTCACCAGGCTTCCGTGCATCGGCTCATTGCAGGTGCGAAGTTTCGCGGGCCTCATGAGCCCGCCGGAACGCACCCCTGGTCGCCACGGGGAGAACTTCGGAGCTCCCCGACAATGATTCACCGGTAGAGCTCACGCGCCCGGCGCCGCAAAGATGACGCGTTTGGCAAAGTTCGGATGCAGAAAGCAGCGACGCCAGTGCCTCGACCAGACGGGCTACAGGAAATGGTTGGAAACTCTCGATTGCCCGGCAGGGAACGCCGTGGTCATGGAGAAGAGCAGTTTTGACGATGGGAACACAACGCGCAGCGATTCGAGGCCGCGCGCAGCTTCGTGCAGCGTCTGGCGACAGCGACAAGGACAAAAGCTGCAAAGAGCGAGTATGAGCCGACCTGCGCATTCGCAAGGATGTCATCAAGAAAAAGAGGAGATGGGAATGAACACGCAGGCAATGAGGGAGGGCAGTCGCGTGGACCGTCTGCGTGCGCGCACGGGGGACGCGATGGTGATCCAGTTCGGGCCTGGGTATTTCTCCCTGGAGCTCCCCTTTCATCGTCAAATGCTGCACCGGAATAGCGGACGCGCCAAAGTTCACGCAGGGTCCACGCCATCGGCGCGACAAGAGGATGGCTTTGATCAGCCCCCCCCCTCAGCCCCCCCCCCCCCGAAGAAGCCCGAAACAAACATCTCTGGGGACGCTCTTCGTCCGCTCTTCGAGCGCTCTTGGGAATTTACGGTACCGTCCTGACGAGCTTTCGGGGCCGTCTTGAAAGCTAGGGAGATCGTGGAGCTATCCAGGGCCATCTTGGACCCTCTTAGGGAGGAAGGCCGGGGGAGGAGCAACCCCCCTCCCCTCCCCCCCCCGAAGGAGAAGAGACGGGTTGGAAAAAGGGACCTCGCTGTACCAATTTCGTACACTTGGCCTGCTGACAGGGTTCCAGCGTGCGCCTCTACTACAGCGGCAGTGGCAGTTACCACAATATTGTACTGTTAGGTAGGGGGTCGGGAGGAGGATGAGGAGGAGGAGGAGGAGGACGAGGAGGAGGAGGAGGAGGAGGAGAATTGTTGCTTTCCACTGGCGGGCACCTACTCTCACCAACTATCTTCGCCTGCGCTCTTTCTCTTTCATTTTCTGCGGCGTCCGCCAGGTGTTTCTGACCCGATTCCGTCTTTTTTTCATTAGTTTCGGCATGAACACGACAGGCTCGTTCCTTCCGTTGGTCGAACGAAAAAGGAGACGGAGGAGGAGGAGGAAGAGGAGGAGAAGAAGGAGGAGGAGGAGGCTGAGAAGGAGGAGGAGGAGGAAGCTGAGTCGGAGGAGGAGGCGGATGATGATGATGATGTGATGATGATGATGATGATGAGTGATGATGATGATGATGATGATGATGATGATGATGATGATGATGATGATGATGATGATGATGATGATGATGATTGATGATGATGATGATGATGATGATGAGGAGGAGGAGGAGTGAGGAGAGGGGAGGAGGAGGAGGAGGAGGAGGAGGAGGAGGAGGAGGAGGAGGAGAGGAGGAGCAGGGAGGAACAGGAACAGGAGCAGCAGGAGGAGGAGAGGAGCAGGAGGAGGAGGGGGAGGAGGAGGAGGAGGAGGAGGAGTAGGAGGAGGAGGAGGAGGAGGAGGAGGAAGGAGGAGGAAGAGAGAGGGGGGGAGGAGGAAGAGGAGGAGGAGGAGGAGGAGGATGAAGAGGAGGAGGAGCGGAGGAGGTGCAGGAGCAGGAGGAGAGGAGGAGGAGGAGGACGAGGAGGGAGGAGGAGGAGGAGCAGGAGGAGCAGGGAGGAGCAGCAGGAGGAGAGGAGGAGGAGGCGGAGGAGGAGGAGGAGGAGGAGGAGTGGGAGGAGAGGAGAGGAGGGGGAGAAAGAGGGAGGAGGAGGAGGAGGAGGAAAGAGGAGGAGGAGGAGGAGGTGGAGGGGGAGGAGCAGGAGGTGGAGGTGGAGGAGGAGGGGGAGGAGGTGGAGGAGGAGGAGGAGGAGGAGGAGACAGAGACGGAGACGGAGACGGATACGGAGACGGAGACGGAGATGGAGAACGAGCAGAATGAGCAGGAGGAGGAGGAGGAGGAGGAAGAGGAGAGGGAGGAAGAACACGAGGAGGAGGAGGAGGAGGAGGAGGAGGAGGGAGGAGGAGGAGGAGGAGGAAAAAAGAGGAAACGGAGGAAGAAGAGGAGGAGGAGGAGGTGGAAGAGGGGGAGGAGGAGAAGGAGGAGGCAAAGGAGGAAAAGAAGGAGGAATTGAACAACAGGAAGGGGAAACTCTGAAGGAAGGGCGGGCGGGGGGGGGGCTCTCAATGTGTTTTTGGGCGCTCCCCCGCCCCCTCCCCGTCGTCGGCAGGGTTGACCGAGGTCTTTCCCCTAAGTGGGCTGTTCCATACTGCCCCGCAAGCACTCCGAATCCGCCTCCGAGTCCTTTCGGGATTTTCGATTCCGCCTCGGGCCTGGGTCCTCGGCTGGCCCCCCCGCCGCAAG